ATATCTCCCATTCAGGGAAGATTTTAGAAAATTGGTGCTGCCTAAACATCCTCCAGGTATTTGCGATTTCAAGATAATTTATAAGCTCCCGAATCGCGGGAGGATGTTTTAATTTGAAGTCTGACCTACGTTTTAGTAGCTGGTTCAGAAGAGGTGAACGCTGCGGTAGAAATGATAAAGAAGATGTCGACAAAATACTATTCTGATGCTATCTCCAATCCAACTCTTCAGAAATACTATGCTGAATTAGAAGCTCTGGCTCTTGAACGCACGGAGGTGAATGAAATTGTTGATCATACACGTATGTTCTTTTCAATTTTGTCTCTTGGCTGAATCAGCATTAATCTGGCTGCTGTTTCCTGTAGAACCTGATGTGGAAGAAATGCAAAAACATGCTGGAAAGGAGATTAGCAAATTTATCGACCTCATATCCCAAGCTGATGGGGATAAATGTTTCGCGTCCCCTTCAAAGAAAGCTGCAACTTCCTTAGATCTGAAGGAACTTCAAGACCACGTTAAAAGCGGCACACTGGCCAAATTAACAGTACCTACACTGAAGCAGTGTGCCATCATGCGAAATGTAAAATCAGCCTCAAATAGAAAGGCTGCTCTTTTAGCGGCAATCATTGACTTCTTTGACGCATAGTTTAAAATGTACAATGACATTCAATTTCACTCTTTAAATTTCTTTTCTTGTTTTGATTTGTATTCACTTTCCGGGACGACCTGTAATTTCATAATTTCAAGAGAGAATAGCACCATCGGTCTATTCTGTAAACAACTTGTGTGCTTCTCTGTCCACACCGGTCCCCTTGGTTAGGGTGGGAGGTGTTGTGTGCACAAATGTCGCGTCACCTAACATTCAATTTCCGTATCTGCCACTTAGTTTAACCTGTTACCTCACTACTTTACAAATGCTTATTATCACCAGAACTAAAAACGATTTACCCAATTTCTTGTTTTGGCAAACTAAATATGCGCTGACATTGTAAAATTTAGATACAATAATGCAATGCGCAAAAATTACGTAATGTTGCATCTGATTGGCCGCCAGTTAACCATTCAGAACTTTGACAATTTACACGATATTAAACAAATTCATAACACTAGCAAATCTAGAAGCACCCATAAAAGAAAGAGAAGACAATTTCTCATTACAAGTCTTAGCACGCTTGAACGTGTAGTAAGACCATTCAAAGTGTACACTGAGTCATAAATTACTGCTGCAGAATTGGACATCACAGGTTTAAGCCAAGAAAGGCGAGAGGCTGGTGAGAATATTTTAGTGATGAAGAGCCAGAACAAACACTCCAATAACCAGTAAGATTGCGGTCAGTGGCATCACCAATAGGAGATCGAAAGAACATTTATTTTATTTATTTATTTCAAATGGCAGGCTTTATGATATTTATCAT